CCCCAAACCCTTAACCCTAAACCTCTAAACATTAAACCCTAAACCCTAATCCCTAAACCCCTAAGCCCTAAGCCCTAAACCCTTACATCTGAGGGCTTAGGGTTTTGGGCCTCGCCAAACTGAGGCCCCTCGAGCGAGAGAGACTCTCACCTTCAAAACCCCCAAATCCTTGGTTTAGGTTTGGGGTTTAGGTTTTTTTAGGGTTTAGGGTTTAGGGTGCTTTAGGGTTTAGGGTTTTTTCGGGTTTATTAGGGTTTACTAGGGTTTATTAGGGTTTATTAGGGTTTATTAGGGTGTATTAGGGTTTAGGGTTTATTAGGGTTTATTAGGGTTTATTAGTTTACTCGAGTTTATTAGGGTTTAGGGTTTAGGGTGTTTTAGGGTTTAGGGTTTATTAGGGTTTATTAGGGTTTAGGGTTTAGGGTTGAAGCCTCAACCTTTACGTTCTGAGCCTTGAAACCCCTAAAGAACTCTCAGCGTTTCCGTTCGAAACCTCTCAAGCTCTGAATCGTCAGCCTTTACAACCTCAACCTCTAAACCCCAAACCCTAGACCCTAGACCCGAGACCTTTTTTCTTTTGCTGAAGTTTCTGCGCAGGATGAGAAGTACTTCCCCGATGCTGCCGCATTTTGCCCGCACCGCTACACCGATCCGCAGGCTCACGAACACAGAGATCAGACGTAGAGGGTTGAGTTTTTTGTTCGGAGGTTTAGGGGTTTAGGGGTTTAGGGGTTTAGGGGTTTAGGGTTTAGGGCTTAGAGGCTTGAAGGTTTGTTTTTTTCGGAGGTTTGTAAGGGGTTCAGGGGTTTAGGGTTTTTAGGGTTTTAGGGGTTCAGGGTTGTTTGGGGGTGTCGGGCTAAACCCTAAACCCTAAACCCAGGGTATTAGGATTTTTGGGTTCAGGGTTTTGGGATTTTCGGGATCCCAGGGTTCGGGAATTTCAGGGCTTTAGGACTTTAGGGTTTAGGGTGTAGGGTTTACGGATTAGGGTTTAGGGTGTCGGGTTTAGGGGTTTAGTTCCCGAAGATCCCAAGAACTAATCTGGATCTGTTGGGTTTCTCAATAGACATCTGCTGTTTCGGTCACATTCTGGCAGAAAGCTTGAATTTTCTGGCCTGTCGGCTTAGGGAGATCATGCCCTCAACCTATTAAAGCCCCAAACCCTCGACCCAAAACCCTCTCAAGCCTGGCCCGCAGGGACTCCCACCCGTCAGCCCCTCATCACCTTCGGGTTTAGGGTTTAGGGCTTAGGGTTCGGGGTTTAGGGGTTTAGGGTTTAGGGCTTTAGGGTCTCGGGTCTCTCTAAGGTAAACCTGAGTCCATGAACCCCAGGGGCCACCACAAGCCCAACCCCTTAGTACCTGACTGACACAAGGCCCACACCTTAAACACAACCCCCCCCAAAGCCTCCTTTTAGAGGTAACCCTAAACCCTAAACCCTAAACCCCTAAATCCCTAAAACCCTAAACAACTTTAAATGTTTGGTTACTAGAGCCCGTAAGAGACGGCTACACTTGGAAATTTTGCTAGGGTCCCACATTCAGCATAGTATTCTTACATCCGCAGTTCCAGACCTCGAGCCCGTGACCTCTTAACCCGACACCCTAAACCCTAAAACCCTGAACCCTAAACCCTAAACCCTACACCCTAAACCCTTAACCCTAAACCCTAAACCCAAAGTCCCAACCTAAATCCTGAAGATTACATCGCAGAGACCCAGAAGCCCAAATCCTGGAGACGATTGGCACATGCACAGCCCAGCCCAGCCCCAGCCCAGCCAGCCCAGCCCAGCCCAGCCCAGCCCAGAAGCTTTATGTCTGGAGAGGCCTTCAACAAGATGAGATCAGTAAACCCAAATCTGTAAGTCCCAAGCCCTGATCCCTAATCCTAAGCCCCAAGCCCTAAACCCTAAACCCTAATCCCTAAACCCTAAACCCCGAACCCTAAACCCTGCACCCGAAACCCTACTAATATAGGCGCCTTAACAATTGCCTACAATATTTGAGGGGTTCCTTATTATAGCGAAAGTATAATATACCCCCAAGCCCCATTCTAACTATTAAGGCCCCTAAACTACCCCCAAACCCTAAACCCTGCACCCTAAACCCTGATCCCTGATCCCCAAACCCTGCATTCTAAACCCTAAACCCTGCACCCTAAACCCTAAACCCTGATCCCTAAACCCTGCACCCTAAACCCTAGACCCTACTAATATAGAAGCCTAAATAATGACCAAAACTATTTTGAGGGGTTCCTTATCATAACTATATTATAAAGGAGCCCAAAACCCTATTCTAATAAAAAGCCTCTACAGTACCCCCACAGGCCCTAATCCCTGATCCCTCAACCCTAAACCCTAAACCCTAAACCCTGATCCCTAAACCCTAAACCCAAAACCCTAAACCCCACCCCCAAAGGCCTTCAACAAGATGGAACCTATCATAACTATATTATAAAGGAAAAACCCTATTCTAATAAAAAGGCCCCTACGGTACCCCCACAGGCCCTAATCCCTAAACCCTAAACCCTAAACCCTAAACCCTGATCCCTAAACCCTAAACCCTAAACCCTGCACCCTATACCCCACCCCCCAAAAGGCTTTCAACAAGATGGAACCTATCATAACTATATTAAAAGGCCCCTGCGGTACCCCAAAAGGCTTTCAACAAGATGGCGATGGACCGGGAGATCGTAACTTTCGGCCACGGCCGAAAGCGCTGCACTGGCGAGCTGTCGCTCGGCGGCTTTGGGGGTTTTTCGAGATCTGCTACAGGGTTTAGGGTTTAGGGTTTTGGGTTTAGGGTTTGGGGTTTTAGAGATTTGTGGTTTCGGGCCGCAGATTTTTTTGACGGGCTTTTTATTCAGGGGTTCTGGAGGTTTTCTTTTAAGAGTTCTTTCGACTGTTGTGGAGTGTGGAGTTTACGAGACATTGTCGGTTGTGCAGGGCTTCTAGGGACATTTTAGAAGCTTGTAGCCGTTTGTTGAGAGTTATGAAGGGTTTGCAGGTTCTTGTTGGAGTTTGGGACTTGGGGTTTGGGGGTTCACAGGCATAGGTGTGCTTGTTGTAGGGTTTAGGGTATAGGGTCGAGGGTTCAGGGTTCAGGGTTTTGGGATTTAGGGTGTAGGTTTGGAAGCTTTCGTTGTGGCCTGTTTACTCGGCGTTGTTGTTTCATGGTTTCAATGAGGGTGTTGGTGATGATGGACCCTGAACCCTAAACCTCAAACCCCCAAGCCCTCAACCCTAAAATCTTAAACCCATTTTTTTTTGGAGGTTCCTTCCAGACTTTTGGCTTGGTTGGGCGAGGCAAAACATGCTGGTGGTGTTCAGTGGGTTGAGGGTTTAGGGTTTCAAGATCATATTGGGTATCTGTGTTTTATGTTGTGTCGCTGACCGTTTAAGAGTTCTGCAGCAATGGGCCTGATCGGGTTGAACCCTAAACCCTAAACCCTAAACCCTAAACCCTAAACCCTAAACCCTAAACCCTAAACCCTAAACCCTAAACCCAAACCCTATGCCTCAGGCACGCGCGGTCACAGATCTCGGCGCTGCTGGCTTCTTTCGTGATGAGCACCTCGGCTGCAACGCCATCGGGTCCTGGCTCGGGCTCTGGGGTAGGGTTCGGGGTTCATACAGGGGCTCATGGCTTCTTGTACATGGGTCCAGAAGCACCCCTAAACCCTAAACCCTAAACCCTAAATCCTAAACCCTAAACCCTAAACCCTAAACCCTGAACCCAACCCGTGTTGGGGATAGGGTAGAACTGCGTAGCGTAGTGACCTCTTGTTTTAAGGCCCCTGTGACCGACCTCGAGAGCCCCACGCACGATCGGGTTTAGGGTATAGAGTTTAGGGTTTAGGGTTTAGGGTATAGGGTATAGGGTTTAGGGTTTAGGGTATAGGGTATAGGGTTTAGGGTTTAGGGGCATGTTGAGGGGATGCTAGTACTCGGAGGCCCCTATCTATAAAGGGTTCTATAGGGTTCTATAAGAGTTTAGGATTTAGGGCAACCAGTTCCGTCCAACAAGGATTTGACATGGATCTCGTCACCGACGAAGCAGACAACAGAATGCCGGAGGACTTCTTTGCCAGGTTAGAGGGGTTGAAAGGGCTTCGTAGGGGTGTACAGGGGTTCGTAGTTTTAAAGAAGGATTGGGGCTTAGGGTTTGGGGTTCAGGGGTTGGGAATGATTTTCGTACATGCTATCCCCAAAATCCTGTTTGCGGCCTGGCGGCAAGAGGAAGGCCCCCATAATGAAACTTACATTGTAGGATCTGTGTTATGAAAACTCCTTTCGAAAGGGGCCCCTTAACTGAGAAAGCACCCCAAGTCGTAAAAACGGTTCCTGGTCAGGTCATTTCACGTGAGGTCACACCCTAAACCCAAAACCCTACATAACCTAAATGGGGGTTTCCGAAAATAGGGGACCCTAATATAGTACCCTAAATAATAGGATCCTTATTATAAGGACCCCAAAATAAGGTACCCCTAATTTTCGGAAACTCCCAAATCGTCAACCTCGGGATCCTGGCGGATGTTTCCCTTAGTATTATCATGCGGGGACTAGAACGGCCTAAACCCTACTTGAAGGATCATGGGACTTAGTAAGTAGGGTTATAAGTTATAAGTAACTTAATTGGGGTTATAAGTAAATATAAGCATAGTTACCTTAATTATAACCCTACTTACTAAGTCCCATGATCCTTGAAGTACACCCAAACCCTCTAAAGGGACTACGGTTGGGAACTTTCTTAGGGATTTCGGGCTCGGTAGGATGTTCAATTCACATCTTCAGCTCTATCCCTTATGGTTTAGGGTTGAGGGGTTCGGCTGTAGGATGTAGGGTTTATGGTTTAGGATGTAGGGTTTAGGGTTTAGGGTTTAGGGTTTAGGGTTTAGGATTTAGGGTCTAGGGGCCTGGAAATCTTATATATGAGCCTACGGAGTCTCCACCACGACGGAAAATCCACACACCCTAAACCCTAAACCCTAAACCCTAAACCCTAAACCCTAAACCCTAAACCCTAAACCCTAAACCCTAAACCCTAAACCCTAAACACTCGGCGTAAGAGCATGGGAGGACCACGACGGCCCCTTCGTTTTTGACACCGCCAACACCCTGAAGTTGGTCAACCTGCGCGCAAGATCAGGCAGGGGTTCTGAGAGGGTGGGGTTTAGGTTTTAGGGTTTAGGGTTTATGGTTTAGGGTTTAGGGTTTAGGGTTTAGGGTTTAGGGTTTAGGGTTTAGGGTTTGGGGCATTCTGCAAGGTGTTCTTGGGGTTGCAAAGCCCGACAGATGGATGCAAGAATTAGGGCTTAGGGCTTGGTCTTGGGGCTCTGGGTGCAGGCTGTGCAGGTTTTGCACCTTTTTTGCTTGGGTTTGGGATGTATGTCATCAAGCAGCCAGAGCTGCGGAGCTGACCCGCGGCTTCTTGGCCGGGAATCCCTGGACACCCGGCAGCTGCAGCCGAAGTCACAGCGCCAGGAGCGCGACACGGCACCGATCCCATGCCAGACACTCCTGGACATCGAGAGCATGTTTAAGGAGCTCAAGGCTGGGATTCGAGAGCAGGTGGAGTTCCGTACCTTGAAACAACAGGTGGCAGCTCTCTGCTGCAACGTGGCGAAAGCCTTCGTGTCAGGTGATTGCCCAAAGGCTGCAAGCCAAGTTGTGGACCCCATGTGGCGCTTGTTGACTGATGTGTCAGACCTCCCTGGCGTTTTGTCTGTGCTCGACGACTTCAAGAAGTGGGCCACTGCCGTGAAAAGCCAGAACTATACTAGAATATACCACCCTAAACCCTAAACCCTAAACCCCCACCCTCTGATTCTTGAGGCTGCTGTATGAGACTCCAAATCCCTGCAAGACCCTGAATTCTTGCAGTCCGTGTAGGGGGTGGAGCACTTCACCCTGCACTCTGTGGCCGTAACCCCCTAAAGCCTAAACCCTCGGCCCTCAACTCTACAACCCTAAACCTGGCCGTAAACCCTAAAACCCGAAACCAAAGCCCTAAAAACCTAAACCCCAAGCCCGAACCTCTAAACCGGAAGTGCTTCTAGGACGGTTTCCCTCCAAAGAGCGAGAAAAATCTTTTAGGCTTTACGGCTTCCTCTAGGAGCCCTGCTGTCTTCGGATCAACCTCTCAACCTTCGAAACAAAAGCTTCTCAAAACGCTTAGGGTTCAGCTTCTAACATCCATGAATCAGAACCTCGGAGCTTCCATTCAAAAATCTGGTAAGGCGTTTTTTAGGGTTTAGGGTTTAGGGAGTTTCAGGTAATGGTGAGCCCCAACCTAAACCCTAAATGCTGGGATCCTTGTTTAAGGACCCCTCCAAGTTTAAGGCCCTTAAAGGAAGCGTTCCTCATCCCTAAACCCCAAACCCTGTACCCTAAACCCTAACCCAGGCCCCTAGCTTTCCGAAACCCGCGTTTGAACCCAAGGCGATGCCGGCCAGACGACGGCCGCCGCGGCTTCTGTGGCCGTCGCGGCTTTGTCAGGCGGGAGACCCATAGCATTCTTTTCCATTTTCATGGGTTTAGGATTAAAGGTTCAGGGGTTTAGGGCTTAGGGTTTCATGTGCAGTTAAAACGTAGACTTGGTGGTTGGGTCTAGGATCGTAGGATGTCAGGTGTAAGGCTTTAGGATCTGGAATAGCAAATGCGTACCTTACTCAGCGGTGCAAGTCGTTGCTACGTCGCTTGACCCATGAAGTCAAACCCCAGTAGCGAACCGACACAAATGACCGAAACGTGCAGTCAAGACTGTAAGTAAATCCTGAACCCTAAACCCTAAACTCTAAGCCCTAAACCCTAAACCCTAAACTCTACGCCCTAAACCCTAAACCCTAAACCCTCAACCCTAAACTGGCCCTAAACCCCAAGCTGCAAAAACCAGAAGAGCCCGGCACTCGGGCCCTGACCCCCGCAGCTGCATCCTAAGTCAGCCCAGATCCTACCCGGAGACTCCAATATCCCTTAATTAAGGAATGTACCTTAAATCATATTAAGGATCCTACTAAATTTTAAGGTATACTCCTTAAACATCTTACTTGGAGGATCATGGGACTTAGTAAGTAAGGTTATAAGTCCCTTAATTGGGGTCATAGGTAGATATAAGTATAGTTACCTTGATTATAACCCTAATTACTAAGTCCCATGTTCCTTTAAGTGCTCTACAAAACAATTAAAGTTGAAACCAGATCCCTCACAGTGGGGTTTACCTTTTTTAGGGTTTAGGCTTTAAGGGTTTGGGGTTGAGGGTTTAGGGGCTTAGGGTTTAGGGTTTAGGGGTTTAAGGCTTAGGAGTTTAGGGTTTAGGGTTTAGGGTTTACCTTATTCCAGAACCCGAAATCTTAGGGTTCATAACCTCGCACTCAGAACGTTCCGAGGCATGAATGAGAGTGCTAGCTGAGCACCTGCTGGCAGAACGGAGATTTCGGTGCTCCGATACTACAGCCAGTGGACGACCTTTTAGTTCTTCCCAGAGTGTCGGTGGTCATTGATAGTACAAGGCAGTGCGCAGAAGTCAAGCAGTGCACGTCTCAAATAAAAAAACCCTAATAAACCCTAACCCTAAGATCTAAACCCTAAACCCTAAACTCTAAACCCTAAACCCGGAGCTCTAAACCCTAAACCCTAAACCCCGAACCCTGAACCCTGAACCCTAAACTCTAAACCCCGAAACCCTGAACCTGGGACTTCTTTGGGAGTCTCCGTGTGCTCGGCGAGGTCGGCTTTCCTCCGCCTCCGAAAGCTCCTCGGGCTCCTGTCCGTTTAGCAGCTCGGAGAGATACGATAAAAGGGTTGCTAAAAGGGTAGGGTTTAGGGTTTAGGGTTTAGGGTTTAGGGCTTAGGGCTTAGGGCGTAGGGTCTAGGGCTTGGGGTTTGGGGCTTAGGGTTCAGGGCTTGAGGTTTGGGGTTTAGGGGCAGTGTATGAGGTACAGCAAAGGCTCTTGTTGCTGGTTCACGCGGCTTGTCCATGTGGCATTGTGCATTGATTTCGATCGGTAGTCGCGACCCTAAACACTTAGGCAACCAGACTGCTGCACTTGCAAACCCTAAACCCTAAACCCTAAACCCTAAACCCTAAACCCTAAACCCCTAAGCCCCTAAACCCCAAAGGAAGTAGTGGCTCCAGTGCTGGAGTCTGGAGGGATGGGGGTGGAGGGGGCTGAGGGTCGTGGTTTAGGGTTTAGGGTTTAGGGTTTAGGGTTTAGGGTTTAGGTTTTAGGGGTTTCGGGTTTAGGGTTTAGGGTTTAGGGGTTTCGGATTTAGGGTTTAGAGTTTAGGGTTCCGCAAGCATCCCAAAACATCCACGGATGCAGAACTCTCCAGAAGCCGAAGATTTATTGTGCTTCTGTTCTACTGTGTTTGTATTGTACTTATATGTTGCAGTTTTTTCCATCGTGATATTATAGTTATGTTCTAGAGCTTCATGTCTCACACGACTCCGAGCCTGAACTCTATAGGTCCTCACTACAGTTCGGGGCGAAGGTTTCGGGTTCAGAACTGGTGGCTGCAGTTATTTAACCCTAAGCCCTAAGCCCTAAA